ACATAAAAATATTATTAATACTATTATATTACCTGCGAATATAGGTTAAAGCTTCACGTTTTTCCTTGACGTTGCTATTTTCCCGCAGCATTTTCAGCATTCGCGGGAAAGACTGCATATTAGAAGCCATTCTGTAAATCTCTTTCTCAAAAAATTAGAATGGTAGAATCTCGTTCATCGCATCGCAAACGTGTGTGCGACGATTTTGCGCGAAAATTGTGGAGAGATAATAAGATCTTCTGCACCCTTATTAATATTTCACATAAACATTAAACTGGAATTGCTTACTGATTTCCTTTAGGAATTGTTTTTTATACACACTCGATACCTACAAAGACTATCCCCCTACAAACAGCCGAGAAAACAGGTTGTAGTAATAATTATTAAGCATTAGACGCATTAATACATTGCACATATTAGCACACACTATCTACTTTAACTTCATTTCTCTGTTTACTTTTTCGTTTCTTCTGCTTTCTTTTCCCTCTCTTTTTTTATTTTCGCCAAGGTCCACAACACAAGTAACAAAAACGAGTTTGTTTTTGAAAAGAGATACAACTGAGAACACAATCATACAACAGTTTAACGCTTTACAATCCCGGCGAGTTTGCAAAGTGCACACTAACTTCAAATACCGTTTTCAATGAATTTGCACCATCTGCAATCGAACAATGGCGTTAAATATAAAAACAATGTTTTTCATTTTTTCATGCATGTAAATTACAGAAGTGTACAATTTGCTAGTTTTGTAATATGATTTAAAAAATACATATCAGTAAAAATCGTCTATTTGCTAAAATATGTATCCTTACCACGTGTTACTTGAAAGTTAAACTGAAGTAGACTTGACTATGAAGCAGTAACGTAGTAAGAATAAAGGTGAACTTGTATATTTGCTTCAATTTATTTCAAAATGTTTTCATTTGTAACATATTAAAATATTTTTGCAAAATTTTGTTTAATTTTAAATTGCAAATTCTTAAAAACTTTCGTGTTTATAGAAGAAAAAAAGTATATAGTACTAGATTACATTTTTATAATTTGCAAGTACATAGTAACAGAGAATAATACTAAAAAGTATTTCAAAATGGTTGCTTTTTTATTTAAATGTAAATTATTTATATTTATGACACATTTTCTTGAGTGCAAAATATTTTTTAAAAATTACGACAGTTTTTATTGCAGTTC